TGGTAGCTCACAGAGAAAAAAATGTGACAATGAATATATATATGTTCATGTGTAACTGAAAAATTGTGCTGTACACTGGAATTTGACACATTGTAAAATGGCTATAACTCAATTAAAAAAGTTTTAAAAAGTGGTGTTGGCAAAACAGATTGACGGACATACAAAACAAAGTATGGTTATCGGTGTGGGGAAAGGGCTGGGAGGGATAAATCAGAGGTTGGGGATTAACAGACACACACATACTATAAATAAAATAGATGAACAAGGACCTACTGTAGAGCACAGAGAACTGTATTTAATTTCTTGTAATAACATATGATGGAAATGAATCTGAAAAGAAAAAAATTTATGTATGTACATGTATCACTGAATCTCTTTATGGTACACCTGAAACTAACATTGTAAATCAATAACACTTCAATAAAAATTTTTTAAAAATTAAAAAAACGGTGTTGGCACCATTGGCATACACCTGGAAGAAGATGAAGTTTGTGTCTCACATACAGTATAGGTTGCTGTTCAGCCTATCCAGTGAATGTTTGAGATCAGAGAGTCAAGGGTACAGGCAGGTGAGGTGAAGGCAGAGCACTGGAGGCCGGGGATGGAGGCCAGTGGGCAGGGTCACTCCCTGCAGAGCTGGACCACCTGAGATAAGGGTGATACAAGGCAGTGGTTCTCAAACTGGGTGCCTAGCAGAATCCTGCTGCACAGCTAATGTGGAACACAAGCCCAGGAGCCGCCTGTGTCAGTGAGCCTGGGCCTCTGGGTTGCAGATTAGCTCTGCAGGAGATCTGACCCCCAAGTGGGAGAGAGCACAGGGCCTCTGTTTTTCTTACTAAGTTCCCCAGGAGATTCTGATATCCACTGACTTTTGAGGACCACTGATGTGGGAATGCAAAAACAAATAAAATAGGATGGCAATAGATTCCAGAATTTTATCACAGGATTAGCTCTCTCACTCACGGAGCCCTACTGTTCACACAACCAGGAGACAGCAGCCAGAGAATTTATTCTTTCCGTTCGCCTCGACAGGTATTTATTGACTTCCTACCAGTAGCCAGGCACAGTTCTGGGCACTTGGCGTGCAGGGCGAGTGAGGGAAAGAACATTATCTCCTCTTGAGGGCTTACTCTATGCCAGGCACAGTTTAAGCCCTTCGTGTTCAGTGAAATATGTGGGCCTCGTGAAACTCTTGCGTGGTTAGTGCAATGAGCTGCTCATTTACAGATTTACAAATTAAACTCAAACACCAAGAAGTCAAGTAAATGGGGGTGTCCTGCTTTGGGTCAAAGACCCTGGGGAGAGAGCAGTGGTGGCCCGCGGCAGTGGAACGAGACGTAGAGTTAAAGGAAGTTGGTGTGGAGAATAGGCCAGATTAGTTAGGCTAATATTTAGCAAAAAAAAAAGAGTAATTTAAAAATTCCCTAGTAGGTTGCTTTTCTCAGAAAGTGTCCATTATTGTTTCCTTCTAAAAAAGGACTGTTTGGAATGTGCAGCTCTTCCGCCATCTGCTGGCAGCTTCTGGTTACTACACGTGAGGAAGAGCGGCTCATTCTTATAATGATGTAGTGAGCCCAGCAGAGGGCGCTCTGGTCTGGCTCCTAACCACTCTGCAGGGAACCAGAGGGAGAGAACACAGGATTTCTGAGTCACACTGTGTCTCTTCACCTTGACTTCAGCCCTTGTTTGAGGCAGGCACATACTCTCAACCCTAATTGTCCTAAAGTCTCGGCTAAGTAACTGTTTCTAATCTGATCTTTCTAGCCCCTTAAGACTGTTTTTTGGCCGCAGGAAGCACCCTTGTCAGCAACGGAGAAGTGGACGTGAGACTGGACCCTTTGGAGTCACAGGGCACCCCAGCAGGCGGCAGCGTTTCTCAACTCAAGCAAAAGCCCCCAGTGTCAACACGGTCGTAAAGCTGAGTGGCAGGTGTTCATCTGTCCACCCAAAGACCAGAATCGGGGTGCACAGCAGCACTTTTCATGTGAGCCCCAAGCTGCGTGCAGCTCGAACAGCCGTCCACAATAGAATGGACACGTGTGGTGTCCCCACAGACTGGGCACACGACAACAATGGATGATAAACCACAGCTGCGCACGACACCAGACATTCCACCAACAAATGGGTTGAAACATCCACACGCTAAAGCCGTACAGGGCATGACTTGTTTTATAAAGGCGGACCTACCTGTCTAGTTTACCCAGGGCAGTCTCAGTTTTAGCACCCAGAAGCCCGTGACCCAGGAAACCCTTCAGTCCTGGGCGGACCTGGATGGTTGGTCACCTTGTATGTACACAAAGTTTAAAAACAGGCAAAACAGATCTATGCTGTTAGAAGTCAGGAGAGTGTTTGCCTAGGGTTAAGGGCAGTGACTAGATAGGGGCTCTTGGGTGGGGGCTGGGAATGTTTTATTTCTCCATCTGGATGTAGGTTACATGCGCATGTTGTTTGTGGCAATCCATCAGGCTGTACCCTTAGATCTGCACCCTTTTTGTGTGTACTATTATAATCAGAAAAAAGTTAACAATATTGAGAGGTAGGATTGTGTGGTGGTTAGAGTGCATGCTCCCAAGCAGATTACCTGAGCTTAAAATCCAAGGTCAGGTACCAGCTATTAAATAACTTCCTAGGGCCTCAGTTTCCTCTTCTGGGACAAGGCAGGTGGCACCAAGTGTCCAGGTATCTTTACTGCTAGGACTAGTGGGAGTGTTTCAGGGCTGAGGCCAGAAAGCACTCAGACTGCAGAGCAGGGGACTCAGTGCCAGAGACCATGGGGCTTGGCGTGGGCATCCATAATCCCTTCCGCACCCCAGGGTCCTGACAGCTTCCCAGAGCCTTCCCTTACTAAAAGATGCAGAATCATCAGCCTCAGCCCTGGGATTTGTGCCCAGAACACCAAACATTTCTAACTGATGAGAGCCCCCCACCTGCTTACTGTTGAGAAATCGCAGAGCATCCTTGGGTAGTTTTACTGACGTTTTATGGCCTCAATTTACTCCTTTGTAAAATGGGAACAATAAAAAACCGTAGTAGCAATCACAGTTAATTTGATTGCACTAAATATGTACCAAACGCTGTGCAAGAAGCCTCGTAACACTTTCCTCTCCCATTTTATGGATTTGGACACTGAGGCACAGAGAGGTTAAGCAACCTGCCCCAGGTCACACAGTAGTAAAGGGCAGAACTCCCCAGGCTGTACCCCTAAACACTACACCAGATCCCAGCATCTCACTAGAGTGTGGGGAAGAGAAGGTGATGGATGTCTTGTGGGCCCGGAGCCTGGCACTCAGTAGGTGCTCAGCACCAAGTCGCCCTGACTTCTGGATCTCAGAAGCCCAGATCCCAGCTCTCTACTCACTTTGGCCTTGGCTACCACCAGGGGGAGCGGCTCGGACAGCTGGCATCCACGGTCTGGTCGATTTGTCCCTGACAGTCTTCCTAGGGCCTCAGCTTGTTCTGGATGAACTCGCGCAGCTTCTGAGCAGGCAGTGAGCAGAGCTGGGACTCCCACTTTCCCGTGGCTCTGGCTGGCTGCTGAGCGGACAGCTAACAGCCAGGCTGGGGCCGGAGGGAGAAGAGAAGGAGAAACTCCTGTGCCAGGAGCCGGAAAACAGAAACTCCCGCCAGGAGGAAAGGAACTTCACAGCCTTCCCTGCGGACTCCCTCCTTCCAGCGTCTTGCCCGCCCCCCGCAGCTGTGGGTGTTTCTGCTGCTCTGAAGGAATCCCGATGGTTAATAATGCAGCTTTTGGAGCTGGATTATGAGGGCTTGCTCCATGCTAGAGCTGTGTCTTTGTGTGCCTTGATCTCCCCATCTGTAAAGTGGGGATCGCAACAGTGCCTCTCGTGGGCTTACTGCAAGGATTAAATACTTGCAAAGTGCTTAGAACAGGACCCAGCCCATGGCTAGGGCTCTGTGAGTGTTTGTTAAGCAAACATTTTACAGGGGTCTGGAGGTCATTCTTTTTTTTAAATTGAAGTGTAACAACATTGTGTTGATTTCAGGTGGTGAAATTGAATGAAGCACTGACATACGCTGTAACATGGATGAACCTTGAAAACCTAATGCTAAGTGACAGACGCCGGGCACAAAGGGTCACACATTGTATGATTCACGTCTATGAAATGTCTGTAATGGAGACAGAAAGCAGATTAGTGGTTGGCGGGGATTAGGGGAAAGGGGTTGGAGGGAAGAGGGAGTGAGTGACTGCTACTGGGTTTCAGGTTTCTTCCGGGAGGCGATGAAAATGTTCTGGACTTTGTACCATGAATGTATCTTATGTTACGGCTCACCGTGTGAATACAATGAATACAAACCTCGTGACTATATTCAAACCACTGAATGGGACCCTTTAAAAGGTGAAATTTATAGCATGTGACTTACATTTCAATAAGAATTTTATAAAAATGAAAAAATCAAAGTGTAATTTTTAAAATGCCAACACTTCCTCTGGGGTTCTGCATCTCTGGGGATTCAGTTCTGGACTCAGTTACTTCTCTCTGCCTTCTGGCTGCAGAGGATGGGGGCCTCTTCACAGGCCACCAAGGGGGCACCTCTGACGCTCATGCCTGGATTTCAATTGCTGATTGATCAGGTTTAGCTTTAAAAAAATTTTCCCCTGGGTCACAGCACTAGCCACTGCTGTGAGAAGGGTGGAGCCAGGCAGGCAACAGGCAAGTGGGTCTGCCCCTGAATTTCGGGCGCTGGCCAAGGTGGCTCGTTCTGAGAGCTGTGTCCTCTGAACTGCAGCTGACTGTCCAGTAGCCACAGGGGTATGGCTGCCAGTTCTCCGTCACTAATTTATACACTTAGGGCAATCCCAACAAACATTCCGTTTTTTAAAAACTTCAAACACATCATTCTAATGTCTATCTGTAAGCATTAAGAATTTATTTTCCTTTTTGAAGTTTTATTAGGTAGAATTAATACAGATTGACTGCACGTATACATTATATTGCATGTGAAATAATTTTTTTAAAATTTTTATTGAAGTGTAGTTGATATACAACATTATGTAAGTTACAGGTATACAGTATGGTGATTCACAATTTTAAAGGTTATATTCCATTTATAGTTATAAAATACTTGCTATACTCCCTGTGTTGCACAATATATCCCGGTAGCTTATTTTATACCTAATAGCTTGTACCTCTTAATCCCCTACCCTTATATTGGCCCCTCTCCCTTCTCCCCTCTCCCCAGTGGTGACTAGTTTGTTCTCCATAGCTGTGACAAGGAATTTTTTTTTAAAGAAGAAACATGAGAAAGGAAAATCAGTTTACAGTGGCACCTCTCACACACAATTACGTACTAAAACCTGATGAGGCTGTAACAGGTAAATCCCTGTGAGGCCAGCACAGAACTAGGCAGCAGGTGGCCTCAGCGTGGAGGCGTAAAGCTACGTGGCCGTCCCTGGCTGCTGCCATCTTCATGGTGGCCTGTCCCTTCCCGTTTTGGCCGCGTCTGCTTCCCCGCTGCCCCTCCAGCCAGGTGATCAGAATCTGCACCTTTGAGCTCTTTGCCAGGCCAGGCCCACGCCAGAGTCCCTCTCCTCCTCCCTAGCTCACTCAAAAACTCATTCGTCCTCTGTCCCATCAGGTCAGGAATCCAGTGTTTACTCTGCCTCTGAGTACATGTCAGGTGACAAAGCTAACAAAGGCTTCCTGAAATCCACCTTAACTGAAAGGATAGATGTGGTCAGATGGTGAGTTTCAGAGGTCGTGCTGAAGTCGCAGGAGAGATGGTAGACTGTCAGTGTGTACACCCAGTTTATATTTTGAGTAGTGAGTGCTACATCACGGGAGGCATTCAAGTACAGGAAGAAGACTGGATGTTGTAGAGGGAATGCAAGCCAGGTGACTTCAGACATAAAACCGTGACTTTCCTGCTCACCCCATTAGTCACAGTCATCTTCCAGATTCACAGGTCACTTTAGAAATCTTCCATTTGAGATGGTAGGCCGCACACACACTCAAGAGCCTACTGAAATGATAGCAAAGGTGTGTTAAAAGTACCATGTGACGCAACAGGTTTGAGATTGAGGAAGCGAGCCACCAAGGGGCCAGAACACATTCGATGAGTTTTTAAGAAAGTGGAAAGCAGAAGGTTCAAGAACTGGATCATGATGGTGGACTGATCATCGGCACGGGTCCTCAACTCTCACCCAAGACCTCTGGAAAGAACAGGAAAGAGATGAAGACAATTAACAGTGCTGCTGGCTCCTACGTCGAAGTACCCTGGGTGAACTGGAGACTGAAGCCACTGAGGGAGATATGGGATTGGATAAAGGGGTTGGATCTGGGACTGGATCCAGCCCAAAACACAGGAAGTAGAGGGTCCCTGTGCAGGGTGGGAAGGGCTCTGAGGAGCTGCAGGGAGGTGCCCTGACATCTCGCAGACGCAGGTGAAGGGTGGGCAGGGATGGGGTTTGTGTGAGGATGAGGGGGTATCTGGGAACACGCACCCAGGACTTCAGAGGTGGCAGTACATGAAAACCCAGCCTCTGTTGAGCTGCGGGGAGCTCAGCACGAAGCTAAGCACACTGGGATTCCTCCTGCAACCCTGGATTTCCACTGAATATGCATTTTCCCCTCTTTGACAGCCTACCAGCTAGTCCTAATCTCCTTCTACAACTCCACTCTTATCTCCTTTAGCTAAATGTCTGCTCAGCCCAGTTTCCTTTCCTCAGCAGGAAGCTGCCCAGACTGGCGTTTTACCTCTGGAGAATCAGAAACTCAGGACTTCAGTTTTTAGGTTTCAATTTTTATATAAGCATTTCCGTTGTCCCTTACACACTTGCTCCTCTGTTTCCAAGTCTCAGGAATTTGGACTTGAACCAGCAGCTCCCAATACCAGCACCCCAGAGCTTTCTAGAACCCGGTCCTGCCGACTTTGCACATGTTATCAGAGCTCAGCGGAAGTACTCATTAACCTTTTTTTTTTTGCAGGAAAAATTGCTTCATTGTTTCTTGCAGTCATATAAGTGGTATAAATTTTCAGCAAAAAATTAATAAAACCAGAAAATTCAGAAAAGTATACAGGTCAGCCCATCTCGATTTGGTCCAGCTATGTTTCAAGTGCCCAACAGCCTTATGTGGGTAGTGACCACTGTATCCCACAGGGCAGCTGAGTCAGTGAATACACAGCACACACATACAACATGCAGATGTACGTCTTGGCTCTGTGCCTTGTCGTTAATTAACCCCACTGAATGGCATTTGCTATTATTTCTATTGTTATGGACTATAAATTAGACCCTAACCCTCCCACCAGGTACACAGAAGAAAGTCAAGGCTGAGATTCCATTCTTTGGCCAAAGCCTCTCCTGTTGTCTCTCTGAGAATATTGTCAGAGGACAGGCTCCGGTGGGGAGGGGGCCTTGGGGAAAGACTACCTTCAAAAGAAGACAGCGGAGAACAGCGGGAAGGGTGGGGGCCAGGAGACCTGGATTTGTGGTCCCAGGTCTGACACCAACTCACTGCCCTCCACAGATCAAGGACCACCCCCAACTCCACCCCTAGAAATGACGGGGCTGGCCCAGGTGGCTCTGGAGAACTTGCCTTTAAAATCCTCCAGTGTTCAGAGGATGACACAGGTCCAGTTCTCCTCCTCCGAGGCAGGGCGCCCTCCCTGGAGTGTAATGGGTCTTGGAGAGAATTCCCAGTGCTGACCATCATCACAGGCCTCATGTGTCCAGTAACTGTCTTTTCTGGGCTGCAAGGGTAAAGCACATGATCACACTGGAGAGCTGGTCCTCCCATCTTGGCACCGGTTCTCAGTGAGCATCTCTGCTGGACACGGACATGCCCCCTGGATCCCCTTGAGGAAGGCCACCCCAGCCCCCGAGGTGTCCACACTCAGTGGCTGATCCATGTCGGGGAATACAGACCTGGCCACCTCGTTCCTCTGCAGGACAACTCTAATGGCCACCGGATCTCCAGGGCTCCCCGAAGGGTGGGGGGGGGCGGGGGGGCTGAGACTGTCACTGGGCTGCGTTCCAGCTGCACCTCTCCCTGGGCTGCTTCATTCCCCTCCTTTACACAGGTGTTGGTGCCAAGGGCCCCCTGAAACACTGTGCACTCTAAACTTCATCCCAGGGTCTGTTTCCTAGGAAACCCACCTAGGGCATCATCAACCCTCCCCACCCTACATGAGAAAGACCTCGGCTCTTGCAGTGGGGAGACCAAGCTTGGGCCCTCTGTCCCTACTTGGCTGTGTGCCATGCCCCCGTCCTCGGCTACTCTGGGCCTCGTCTGTCACGTGACCCTGGGGAGGCTACCAGGCGGTGAAATAAGCACTGGCGCCGGATCCACTGGGGTGGCCGCCCAGCTCTACCACTCCCTAGCTGAGTGGCCTTGGGCAGGTGACTGCACCTCTCTGAGCCCCTTGCTCTCATCTGTAAGATGGGAGCACAACACACATCTCAGGGGGGTGTCGTGAGGATTTAATGAGATAATGTGTTTTAAAGGGCTTAGGACAGAGACTGAACCCAAAGCAGGTGGGTATTCATTCAGAAGTGGTTGTTACTGTGTGTATTTCTTCTTAGTGGATGAGCCAGCCGGAGGTGTTAAAAAAGTTACTTCCAGCCAAGGGGGCGCTAATTGAAGAAGGAACTCTGGATAAGGGATGCGAAAAATCCGGGAACCCTCTGAATGGGGCCCAATGGTTATAAAATAGAGAGCGCATCCTGGAACTGTATGAATGTGGCGACCTCCAGCAGAGGCAATGTCTTTGGAAGGAAGTGGTCTCTCACCCAACTGCCCACGCTGTGTGGAGCTGGGGCGCGGGGTGCACAGGGCAGAAGGGAGGAAGGTCTCACCAGCACATGCCAGGAGTCCACTGGGGACCCATCCCATTTCTTCAAGCACGGGTAACTCAGCCAGGCTGCAGCCTCCTCCGCCAGCCGCTGCCAGCTGTGTCGGTCTCCCCCGCCGATGTTTCCTGTAGGGTCCGCCGGGTCCAAAATCACAGGCCTGAAAAGCAACGTTAGAGAGAGAGACAGGTGAGGAGCGGGGGCTGTGTCTGGGGGTGGAGAGGCTCTGGCTCAGGCTGGGGCTCAGGGCAGCGGGAGGGGCCCGGGGGCACTGCTGCCTGGGCTGTGCCCTGACTGCCTGCCCTCAGGAGGACCGTGAGCAGGAGGAGCCTTGCCTTGGGGCCTTGAGAGCCCTGGGTTCGAATCGCTCCCCTGCCCTTTCTTAGAGGTGTGACCTGGGGCAGGTCCCTTGACCCCCGGTCCTCAGTGCCCTTATCTGTGAAAAGGGGAAAGCGGTACACGCCTACCTCAAAGGATGCTGCGTGAGGACCTAGACGACCATGTGAACGCCCAGCGGACTTGCTGGAACATGGTAAGTCAACACATATCAGTTATAATAAGCGTTATTTTTCCTCCTCTACGAAACTGTGTTAGTCTCAGAGCAAGCTCCTAATCCCTGGTGGCAACTGTCATTGTTGCTGCAGCTGTTGGTGTTTTAGGTGAAATTTCAGCCGTTTTGCTCATTTCTGTTAAGGTTTCGACAAGTTCCCTACGTCTCAGAACCTTGGTTTACCCATCTGTTAAGTAGTTAGCACAGTGCCTGCCCCACAGGGTTGTGTACACATTTTTAAAAAAATTAGATGGTAGTTGTTGGGGAGGGTACAGCTCAGTGGTACAGTGTGTGCTTGGCACGCACGAGGTCCTGGGTTCAACCCCCAGTGCCTCCATCAAAGTAACTAAATAACTAAAATCAGATGGTAGGAGTCATGTGCCCAGCGCAGTGATTAGTAATCGATGATGATCAATAAATGGGGAGCCCTCCCACTCCCTGCATTTCCAAGGTGCCACCGCTGTGGGCAGGGGTTCATTTATGTGGGGGGCTCAGCCATGCGGGGACACAGTACCTGGGTTTCCCGAGCTGCTTCTTCAGGTAATCTCCAATAATAGGGGTTTCAAAGCTGTAATACTTCTCCCAGTAGATACAAAGGTCCTGATGCTTCAGGACTAATTCCAAGACTGTCCGAAATCCCTGAGCCATGTTGAATTCTGTCTTCCCACTTCCTTGCTCCCAAGCATAGACTGTCAGCAGCTCCAGGGCATACTGAGGCGGCAGTGGCTTCCCACGCTGCCTCTTACACTGAGAGGAAGAACAATCAGAAAAAACAGGTGTGTCCGGCTTTTGTGTAAAGCAACTGATCCCTGGTGAAAGGCTTGGGCTCTGGATTCTGAGAGATGTGGGTTTGAATCCTGGCTCCACCACTGTCTGATTCTGAAAGCAGACAGGGTTGACTCTTAGCGCTTCACTGTTCTCATCTGCCAAGTGAATAGTAATATTAGTACGGACCTCAGAAGGATGCTGTGAAAAGTAACTGAGAATAAGGACTTGTGTTCCTGAGAGCCTAGAGAAGCAAACAAGTTTTTTTTTCTTTGAGGAAGATATTTAATCCAAAGCCTCCAATTCTTTCACAAGTAATTTTCATGTACAATGACCAGCACGTAAATAACCAGACACACAAAGAAACAAAACACCCAGAGTGATGACCGACAACAGTAAAAAGGCAAATGGTAATGAATCCACAAAACTTGAATTTGAAACTTTTTTCTTTTTTAAAAAGATTTGTTTGTTTGTTTAGTAGTAAAATATACATCAGAATAGGAAGGAATTAAAAAGAAAGAAGGAAATAAAGAGTTTTTTTTTGCTAAGCAGAACTGTCTTGCTCATTGGAAAATACCTAGTATTCCTGGCTTCTTTCCAATCATTACCAGTAGTGTCTTTGTCCTGAGGTGGGAAGCCCCATAAAAAAGACCCGCAGGACCCCCAGGCAGGGCCATTACTCTCCTGCCAGCACCATCAGGTTCCCTGGCCCAGCCGCATTTATCTCACTTTTTGGCTCTGAAACGCTTACTTCTAGGAGAGTGAAACTTACCCCTAAAATTCTATTGGTGCCCTGAGCTAACTCCTGATTGGTCCATTTGTAGTACTTCATTTGCATGGAGCTCACTCCTGATTGGTTATTCCTCTCACTTCTGATTGGTCCATTTCCCTCACTCCTGATTGGTTATTTCTCTCACTCCTGATTGGTCCATTTCTACAAAGCTTGTTCCTAATTAGTCAACTTTTGTTATACCTTATTTGCATATAATGTTGCAAAGTGTAAACTGGCAGCCTATAAAAGCCTGTGTAAGCGTACAGGTGGGGTCCAGAGCTTCCAGTGTTAAGTACTGTGGGCCTATTAGGGTAACAAACTCCAGTTTTCCAACAGAGTGCTGCTTGGTCTCTTGCCTAGGTTGCTGTCACAACGGAGCTGTAACAATGAGCTGTAACGCTGAGCTATAACACACTTTGCTGCAACAGTTCCTCATCACAAAAATGTTCTCAAGAAGTTACTGTGTCCTGGAGAACAGGGTTGCACTTGTCAGGAACCACTTTTGTAAGTTCTAAAGTGCACAGGCACCATAATCATAATGCCTGGAGAGTAAACTGAAACGTCTAGCAAATAAATGCTTGTCTTACCTTGCCTAAAGTGTTGTTTTTAAAGTAGGAAGGTTATCCTGAATTATTTTCTTTAACTCAATTTATTCATCTAAAACTATATAGAATGCTTATTATGTATTAGGCCAAATCTTCCATCAGAAGACCCAGATGCATGTTTTCGTTTTGCTGCTTATTAGCTGAAAGTGTCTTCTGATGCTCAGTTTCTCTTTCTGTAAAATGGGGTTACTAATAATACCTACCCTTACCCAGCTCACAGAAGCACCACAGTGCTTAAGTAAAGGCTATTTACAAGTAAACAAACGAATGTCACATCCACAAAGGAAGAACTGTGGCGAGGCAGGCCACGTTAGCTTTTAGGGTATGTTCTCTTGCGGCATCTCAGAGAAAGCACATTTATTAGGACGAACTCTGCCAGACACTCTTGGCGTGTGGTTCCCTATTGCTGTGCCATGTGGCTGTCTACTAATGAGGAAACAGGAAGCACAGGGACGTTAACTCACATGCCCAAAGCCAGACAGCTATTTTGAAGCGAACAGAAGTGTGTGTGTCTGTGTTTGTAGTGTCTGTGTGGGCATACAGCACTCACTAATGCATCCACTAATTATGTACTGAGCTCCCATTATGTGCACGCAAGTAAGCACATGCAAAGGCCCCGAGGCTGGAGTAGCATCTCCTTGGAGGACTAACAGAGGAGAGCATGGCCTAGGGGAGTGGTGAGGGGGCAGAGATGGGGGCTCAGGAGGTCAAGGGCAGATCCTGTGAGCCTCCCAAGTGACTTGGACCAGGGTAGCAGTGATAGAGGTGGTGACAATTTATGGATTACGGTATATGTTACATACAGGACGAGTATCATTTGCTGACTGGTTGGATGGGTGTGTGTGAAGAAGTCAAAGGTGACCTATGGTTCTGGCCAGAGTAACTAAAAGGATGGCGTTGCCCTCACCCCATCCTTATCCCCTCCCCTCCCTCTAGGTCACCCCTCCCTCCTGCTCCTGTCCTCACTCTTGTCCTGCTCTCTGTCCTCCTCCTCCTCTCTCCCTGTCTGGATAGGGCGGTCGTACCTCCTGGTACCAGTGCTTCACCAGGCGGATGAGGCTCTTCAGCTTGGTTGGACGGTCCCTCAGGAAGGCTCGCTGCAGCTCTGTGAAGCAGGGGGAGAACTCGCCCTCTTTCCCCAGGGACTCACACTCTTTAATGAGCTGAATGTAGACTTTAGGGTCGGGTCTGTAGCCTCTGGTCAACTGACCTGTTGGGAATGAATCCATAATGTGAAGATGTCAGCTTTGCTTGGAGGATCTTTCAGCCACCCCGGGGAGATAAGTTCACGGGCCCCAGGGTGCAGGGGAAAGGTCAGCAGGCCCAGAGCAGGAGGCCTGAGGTTGACCCCCAGTCCTCCCTTCTCCCATCCCCACCGCTGTCACCCAGTCCGAGCCACTGTCCTCCCTTGCCTGAACACAGCAGAGATGGCAGCAGCCTCCTTTCTGGATCCTCCACAGCCTATTCTCTTCCCAGCCCCCCCAGAGGCCTCTCAAACTCTGATCATTCCACTTCTTGCTTCCCAGGTCATCTGAATACAATCCCAAGTCCTCACGGTAGCCTAGAGGTTTGGTGTGATCTGTCTCCTGCCACCTCCCCCCTCACCTCCTGTCTTCACCCCTTTGCCACTTACCCCTCTGGTTATTTCACGTTCTCAAATATACCAAATTCACTCCTGTCTCAGGGTCTTTTTTTTTTTAAAGGAATATAAAACTATTTATTGACCACTGTTCACCAGTATTTACAATAAAGTAAACAATATACAGTTGAGTAACATTCTGATTACTACAAAGTTATTGTTTTTCCTGGCTTCTGCTGAACCAATAACCCAAATACTGAGAATGTACAATGTAAGGAATGGGTTAGAGTAAAGAAAAAACATGCAGATCAAGAGTTTAGATTACAAAAGTCTGTTCACTCATTTATTCCTGCAGATCCTAAATTGCCAGCATCTCTAACCATCTGATTAGGTTTCCATGAACAAGTCTTACACATTCCATGGATCACGAGGTTTCAGTAAATATAGCACAGGGACTTCAATTTCCTGTAAAGGAACAGTTCACCAGAAGGAATCCTTAAATGTCCATTTAACTAAGTCTTGCTTGGCTAATTAAAAACACCAGAATTTGTCTAATTTTTTCATTTGGGTGATGGGGAGGTTGTCAGTAGTGATAAAAGTTTTCTTTCAGGGGTTTTGCAAATAAAATTGCATTTATATGACTATAAATATGGATACGGATTCTGATATGGCTGCTTTAAAAAACTGTCCAATTTAAATTGTTTACATTCTATTTAAACCATCCAATTAATTAGAAAATTACTTATCTAATTTGAAAAGTTAAGGCTTCAAAAATTTTCACCTTAGCTTGAAGTGATTTATTAGATTTCTCAAAATGATGGAATCCCAGAAACATGGGCTTATCCACCGTCGTGAAATACTGTTTGTTTTGGTAAATGTATTAAAACCAAACAAACAAAAAGAATGAAAAGAAAACCATTTACATATGTATTTTATGTATATATGCACACAAAACCAAGAATGATCCTTAGGCATATGAGTTAAATGTAAATTCTGATTGAGTAATGACTGGGGATTTCCCCCAACATTTAGAAAAGCTGTTCCCTAGCAGAGGAAATAATATAATAAAAATAATATAATAATAATAATATATCAAGTCTTTTTTTCTGCTCAAAGAAGCAACTACAGAAAGCTTTTATTTGTTCAAAGTAACCAGTGCTATAGATGCAAAAAAAAAAACCAACAACTTCCCCAATACTATTTCAAAACGAACATATCAAACTTGATTTTCATTAGAATATTATTATTTCTTCACACTAATAAATCAAAAACCCAAGACCCAGATTTTATATATATGTAAATATATGTAAAAAGCAATGCAAACAATTACTGAGCTGCATCCTCTGGACAAGAATGCCAAGTTAGTCTCTCTTCATAAAAAGCGACTGCAATTTGAGGACACTTCATATTTGCCTCTTTTGCCAGCACCAAGTCCGCCTCATCTGAACCTTTCCATTTCATGAGAAACATTAATTCTCCACTGCTGTCCACGGCACCCATTATTCATTCTGGATCAAGACCTCTGGCAAAGCCCTTGGTTTATCAGCAGCATCTCTTTCCTTCTTTGATTTGCTATCATCCATTCACTATTGGATAAAGATTTTCTTTTTGTTCCATCTTTTTCTTTACCAGCTTTTTTGAGAATTAAGAACAACAGCCCAGCACTTTTTCCACCACAAATTCCTCAGGCTCTGCCTCTTCGACTTTTTTACTCTTTCCATTCTGTTTCTTTCCCATTTTTTGCAATGTAGCTTTATTGGAGGCCATTTTTTATAGCAGACTTGAAGAGCTATTACTCATCACCTCCGAGCTGCTCTGTGTCCCGAGTACCCAGCGTCTCCAGCCCTGTGCGCCTCATGCTCGAGCCACGTCCCTGTCTCAGGGCCTTTGCACTTGCTGTTTCCTCCTCCTGGAACCCCTACCTCTTCCCATTGTTGGCTTCTTCTCATCCCTCGGACCTCGGGTCAGATGTCCCCTCCCTTGTTGCCTTGTCTGAAAAAGCCTTCCCAGCCCCATCACTCTTTAGGATCATCATGTTTAATTTTTATCACAGCAAGTATCTCTGCATTCATCTTGTGGATCTTTTTATTGTTGGACTCCAGGAGAGAAGTTCCTTTGTCTGGCTCATTCATGACCATAGGACTCTGCCGTGCACACAGTAGGTGCTCAGTGGATAATCTGTGCTGATGGTTATTGATTGGATGCCTCTCTTCCAATCAATTTCCCCCTCAACCATCCTAAACCACAAGCGGGATCATGTTACTTCACCACTTAAAATCTTCCACAGCTATCCACTGTGTTTAGGAGAAACCGATTCCTAAGGCTACAGGCTTCTGCAGGATCAGCTGATTTGGCTCGTTTCTCTGTCACCTGGGCCTTGCCCCCTCCCCTCCATTCATCCTCAGGGTCCTGCCATTCCCCCACCACACTCTGATCTCTTCTGACCTCCAGCTCTTTGTCTGTACTCGACCCTCTGCCTGGCATACCCCCGACCCCTTCTTGCTGCCTCTCCTACTTCTTGGCAACCACTGTACCCCAGCATCCCATACAGGACATGGCAACAAGGAGACATTCCCAAACAGTCTCATTTACCGCTGCCTTTAGAGTTTCAGTGTTTTCCCTACCCGTCCTCTAGGCCCAAAGAAATCCCAAGCAGCTGTGCGTAGGTAGTTTAGTCCACACATCTAGTTTTCCTGTGGTCTGACTGATGTCACTATGTTTCCCTTAAAACTTTTAAATCTGAACTCTCCCCTTCATTTTGCTCACCCCTGTGAGTCACTGTGGTGTCTTGGGGTGCCCTGATGCACAGTGGGGGAACTCACATTTTTGAAAACCCACTATGTGCCAGGCCCTGCGTAAGGGCTGAATGGAGACAATCTGCTAATACTGGAGACAACAGTGTGACATCAATAGTGCAGAGTCCCAGGTTTCCTAATGTGGAAATTGAGGTTTTGGCAGGTCTTGCTTCCTGTCCAAATGTTCCTGCAGATGATCAGTAGATTCTAACCCTCAGCAGAGGCTTCATGAGGCTTCCTCAGGTTTTAGATAAAAGAGGCAATTAGCATATTGAATTTATGCCAGATCTATGCCGCCTGATTTTTACACAAATAAGATTCACACTTTGCCATAAGTAGAACTAA